ACATTGTTTCGTTCTGCTGTGCATGGGGTTGCTATGAGTCGGTTCTGACTCGATGGCAACTGACAACAACAACAGCAACAATGTGCTAATACAACAAATCTTGCCTTGCAACTGCTAAAGCTTGAAAAGGGAGACTGGAGGACACACATTGTCTCTCCCTCTACTCTCCCCTTCAAGTTTTTCTCCAAGACGAGAAAAATGACAATCTGTGATAGCAATCTGTATCTGTGATACAGATAAAAACAACACAAACTCTAACTTAGCTTGACATTGAATTAAAAAGGGGAACATGAAATAATCAAGGTTTCCTCTTTGAATCCATCAATAAGAAAGACTAGGAAACCAAACACTGGTGCCATATTGTCTGAGTTCAAATTCTAAACTCTGTGGCCTGGGTAAGTTTCTTTACCTCTCTAGGTATCAGAGAAAAGTGCCGGGCATGTCATAAGTACTATTTAAGTGCTAGCTATTTTTCCATTCTTATCTTTTACAGTGAAATACTCTTTTAAGTTTTCATAAAGAATTCTGCTTGCTTTAATATACAAGAGGAAAAAGATGCCCATATTTCAACATATGATCTTATTGTTGACTATCTAGCTCCTTTTCACCTTGGCTTGGCTTTGCTTGTCTGAAACTGCTTCTATCTGAGCCCAGAAAACATTGGCCCCACCAGGTCTCTGGGTATTTGGAAACCTGTGTCATCTGAGTTCTTTTGACTTGAAAACCAACCAAACCCACTATGGTTGAGTCAATTACAACTCAAAGAGAGTTACAGGACAGAGTAGAACTGCCCCATTAGGTTTCCAAGGCTGTAAATCTTTCCAGAAGCAGACTATCACATCTTTCTCTCATGAAGTCACTACTGATGGTTCAAGCTGCCATTTTGGTTAGCAGCTGAGAGCCTTTAACCACCATGCTCCAAGGCTCTACCTCTTTCAGATGTTGACTCTTGTTTATTTGGAACCCATGGACTTTTGTCATTTTCACCAGCTTCCCTGAAACACTACAGTCTACATCCTGGATGTGCACATCATTGAACCCTAGTTTCAGCAAACCTCTGACGACAGGGTCCTGAACACATGGTTCACCACGTGACAAGTGGCCTGGCTTTACCTCTACTAGGAAACTACACTTCAAAGTTCCTTAAACTCTATAAACCAAGTCCAATAGCACCCTGTGAATCCTACTTTGATTTCTAGAATCCCTCCTCAGATGATAAAAGCCTCCTTTTCGATTTCTGGAAGGAGCCCCATGGTGCAGTAGTTAAGCAATTGACTGCTAATCAAAAAGCTTGGCAGTTTGAACCCACCAGTCTTTCCATGGAAGGAAAATGTGGCAGTCTGCTTCTGGAAAGAACACAGCCTCGGAAAATCGATGGGGCAGCTCTACTCTGTCCTAGAGGTAGCTATGAGTCAGAATTGACTTGACAGCAATGTGTTTCTCTTTCTGGAGAGTTTTGCCAAGCTCATGCAATTTCATGTGCTTTAGAAATAAATGTCTAGTAGTTCCCCTAATGTTCAAAAGTTTTCTCTTGGTTTGACCCATAGAAACTTTTTATCTTCTCTAATTTCAAAATTCTAGACACTGATAACTACTTACAACAAAACAAAACAAAACGACCTTCTTTTCCTTGAATTCTGGAAACAAGCCTTCTTTAGAGAGCTTTCTAAATCCACTATGTTTTTTCCTGACACTCACTAACCCTTATTAGCCTAATGTGCCTGGTTTTCATTAGCTCCCAAGGATCCAAAAGGTTCAAAACCTTCTGGCTCAATAAGAACCACCAATTATCCCCAAGAACTGAGCAAAAGGGAGATTACATTTTAGTCCGCAGAAATTCTAAAAAGACAAAATTATCACAATAATCAAGACTTTGACACTACAACATGAAAAATACAACTTATAAAGACCATATGTATGTATGTATGTATGTATGTATATAATATATAGAGAGAACCAAGAATCCTACAGAGATCAAGAGAAGATTAATACTACTCTGAAAATCTTTAAAGTATATTAAAACAGAAGAAGTTTGAGGTAAAAACCTATAATTTTCAATAGAGAATAAAAACAGACTATTAGTAATATTCGAAGGAATACGCTTTGTGGAACTCTCTTTTAGACAAGTGCTTCTCAAACTATCTAAAGGAAAAGTTGTGGGCTTAAACATTATAAAATATAGTAAGCATGTCACAAGAATGTCAAGATGCTTTAACAGTTCCTAAGCACTTAACTCTGAATGTCTGTATTTATCTCATGATAGTCAGCACCAATTTGTGGATCAGCACTAGTATATGGACCACACTACTTACTGGTCTATATCATTCCCTTGGCTCTTCATTCCCAACTCCGTCTTAGCTCCTATTATCTTGCATGATGGCAAGTGACAGATTAAGAATCTGAGTTCATAAAGTGACAATAATGGTCCAGTATCAAATATAGCATCACCTTTTACCTCCCATATTCCTGTTCTCATCACTGCCACCAACTGAATCCTTGTTCAAAATCTGTCTTCTTTTAGGAGTCCAGAAGGTAACCTATTTTCATGATTGATCTAGAATAGAAAAAAAAAAAAAAAGTCTCACCCTAAGCTGCCACTCCACCAAATCAGTCCCTGTGATCATCTCAGTAACAGGATGTTCTACTTGCAACCTTGTATTCATCTCCATGAAGTAGAAATTGTGCTTTGAGTCCATAATAAACTCCACAGTTCCTGCAAGATAAAATACAATGGCCATATATCAGTAGTACACAATTAAGAGCAAATACAAATCACCCAGGGCATGTCACATCAAGGTTGACCACTACCTTCATTCAATGGTAAACATTTTGCACTTCAGAAACATCTCACATACTGCAGCAAAAGATTTGCAGTCAAAAATAGGATGCTGCTTGAAATTTAGCAACAGAAAAGTCTATTTGGGGTTTCGAGCAAATGGTGAGTCCAGGCTATGAATCAGTCTCAGCTGCCAGAGCTGTGAGGACATGGTGGTACCATGTATGACTGCTTCCACGCACCAAGACCACCAGGAACCTCACACATGGCATCCAAGCTCACTCTAACCCTGTGGAGAAACAGAGAAAACTTTTTTTTCCCCTCCCCTGATTGTAGGATCTTGGAAGTTCCCTTAAGCAATCCTTTTGCTGGTAACCCATTGAGGGACTTTTTTAAGCCATCGCACCAGCTGCTCCTCGGCAACCCTATACAGGGTTGCTATGGGTCAGAATCGACTTGGTGGCACTTAACAACAACACTTTATATTTGGAGTGCTAGTGTGGCATTGTGGGATAATGCACTGGACTGTAAGGTCAGTGGTTCAAACTCATTGGCCGACCCTTGGAAACCCTATACAGGGTAGCTCTAGGTTGGAACTGACTCCATGGCACTTAACAACAACAACAACAATAATGCCTTAATATCTTGTCTATTGGTGTCCTATACAGACCTAAGAAAAACTCCCCTAGCTTTATTAAGGTATAATTTCAGACGTGTTCAAACAGTAGGGTCATGTGACCAGTAACACAGCGAAAATACAGAATGCTCCCATCACCCAGAAAACATCTTTTAGTCCTCTTTATAGTCAGTCCTTTCGTCAGAACCCGGTCTGGCTGATTACCTTTGTTATTATAGTTTTGCTTTTTCTAGAATTTCTATATAAATGAAAGAGACTATGTTGTATTTGTGTTTTTTAACTTAGCCTAAAGTTAGTTCCATATTTTTGCAGATTATTGTAGGTCACAATCCGAGTAGATCATAAAAATCAGTTTCGTGATTTTAAAATAAAATAGAAGAGAAAAGGATCTACCAAAAAATACTATATGACAAAATTTTTATTTCAGATATATGGCGGATTCAAAAATTTCATGGAAAAAAAATCCACTATCTTTTCTTAATTTTTTTTTTTAATTAAATGTTTTTATTTTGGATTGAGTGAAAGTTTACAGGGCACATCATCAGCTTCACATTCAACCATTCATATAGCTTGTTTCATTACATTGATTATTATCCCCTCCATATATCATCAGTTAACAGTGTTTCTCTCTATCCTCTTTAGCTTTTTTTTTTTTTGGGGGGCACTTGCCTTTTTGGAATTTACAGTCTCGGCTTTTAGGGAAGGTTTTTACATTTGTCTGTGGATATCCAGGGCTCATGTATGAGATTACTAACAAGCATTACTGAATAATCAGATGAGGGACAGTTTGCTATGTCTACTAGGTAGCTAAAGTCTGATCCTCAGAGCCTATGGTCCACTATCTTTTAACTCAGTGTTTCCACAAAATTTTTGAAGGCCCCTCATATGTTTATAAACACACACTTAATATGTATATTCTTGGTATCAATATAAAATGTATTTCTTACTGTGGATCCCATCAAAAGTTTGAAAACCATTCATTTAAAAGTTCCACCACTCTTCCGTCAGTTTGTCGAACTGTGGTGACTGCATGTTGCTGGATGCTGGAAACTATGCTACCAGTATTTAAATACCAAGAGGGTCACCCATGGTGGACAGGTTTCAGCTGAGCTTCCAGATTAAGACATACTTGTTGTTAGGTACCATAGAGTCAGTACCGATCCATAGTGACCTGCACAGCAGAACGAAACACTGCGCGATTCTGGGCCAACCTCACTACTGTTGCCATGCTTGAGTCCATCGATGCTGCCACTTGGCCGATCCATCTCATTGGGGGTCTTCCTCCTATTCTCTGACCCTCCACCTTACCAAACATGATATCCTTCTCCAGTAACTGGTCCCTCCTGACAATATGTCCGAAGTATGAGAGACTAAGTTTGGCCATGTTGGCCTCTAAGGAGCACTCTGGCTACACTTCTTCCAAAATGGATCTATTGACTCTTTTGGCAGCCCATGGCACTTTCAATACTCTCCTCCAACACCATAACTCAAAGATATCAATTCTTCTATGGTCTTCCTTATTCACTGTCTAGCTTTCGCATGCATATGAGGCTATTGAAAATAACATGGCTTGGGTCAGGCGCACCTTAGTCTTCAAGCTGAAATCTTTGCTCTTCAACACTTTAAAAAGGTCTTGGGCAGCAGATTTGCCTAATGCAATATGTCATTTGATTTCTTAACTGCTGCTTCCATGAATGATAGTTGATCTAAGAAGAATTAAGTCCTTGAGAACTTCAATCTTTTCTCTGTTGATAAGAATGTTGTTTACTGGTCCAGTGGTGAGGATTTTTGTTTTATTTACATTGATACACTAGGAAGAAGGAAAAGTGGACTACTTCTGAATGTTTAGCCACTGAAAAACTTGTGAATAGCAGTAGAACACTGTCAGATAGCACCAGAATAAAGAATACTGAAACATTATAAATAGCACAAAAATGTTGACTGGGGAAAAGCTGCCTCCTCAAAATAGAGTTGACCATGATAATGTTAATGGAGTAAAGTTTTTGGGTCCTTCATTTGCTGATGGGACACAACTGAAAATTAGAAGAAACAGCTGCAAACATCCATCAATAATAGTAACATGGAATGTATGAAGTATGAAGCTAGAAAAACTTAAAAAGTTGTCAAAAATGAAATGGAATGCATAAAGACTGATGTCCTAGGCATTAGTGAGCTGAACTGATGGGGACTGCCTGTTCTGAATCAATCATACAGTTTGCAATTCCAGGAACAATAAATTGAAAAGGAATAGCATCATATTCATCATCAAAAAGAACATTTCAAGATCTTGAAGTACAACATTGTTTGTGTTAGGATAATACCCATATGCCTACAAAGAGGACCAAGGATGTGGTATGGTGCTGTGGGTTAATGCATTGGACCACAAAGTCAGTGGTTCAAGTTTACCAGTCACACCAGTGTTTCATTCTGTTTTGCACAGGGTCACTATGAGTCACAATTTACTCAATGACACCCAACAACAACAATTTAAAAGTTATCTATTTCTTTGACCATCTGAAAAATAAGATCATTGTTTCTTCTTTTCTTCTGAATCAAATCTTAGCATACCTGCTCCCACATAATTTACAGCTTTAGCAGCTCGGACTGCAGCTTCCCCAAGCTGTCTTCTTACCTCAGGTTCAATTCCAGGCTAGGAAAAACATAATTCAAATAAATCTTCATTAGTATTTTAGCTTACCAGAAATACCAGTTAAAATCAAATACATTTCTATATATCAAATGTAGTATTAAAAATAATAAGTATAAAAAGCTAATGTTATGCAGCTCATCACGATCTATTGCCTTACACCAATTTGTGGCACTGTGGGTTTATGCGCTGGACTGCCAAGTCAGTTGAATCACAAGGTCGGTGGTTCAAGCTCACCAGCCACTCCTTGGAAACCCTATACAGGGTTGCTATGGGTCGGAACCATGTCAATAGCACTTAACAACCAACACCACCAACAAATACCAAAGTTTATGTAGCCCTGGTAGTGCAATGGTTAAGTGCTTATCTGCTGATTGGAAGGTTGGTGGTTTATACCCACCCAGTGTTTCTATGGAAGAAAGAGCTGATGATCTGCTCCTGTAAAGATTACAGCCCTGTAGACCTTATGGGTCTTTCTATCTGTTCCATGCGGATGATCTGAGTGGAAATCAACTTCCCAGCACCCAACAATAACAACATACCAAAGATTCTCGATTCTGCTAGTAGTGGCCATGAAATGCAAATACTACTCAGCATAACTGGAGTCCTGGTGTGGCACTATAAGATAAAGCACTAGACCACAAGGTCAGTGTGAACCACAAGGTTGGTGGTTAAAGGAGCTCTGGTAGCGTAGTGGCTACAAATTGGACTGTGAACCGCAAGGTCAGCAGTTCGAAACTATCAGCGGTTCCGCGGGAGAAAGATGAGGTGGTCTGCTCCCGTAAAGATTTACAGCCTCAGAAACCCTGTACAGGGTCGCTATGGGTCGGAATCGACTCAACAGCACTTAACAACAACAAAAAGCAGCTTTTGAGGACAAAGATTAGTCTCTGATGAAGACATGAAGACAGCAGTGCATTCGTGGTTCACAGCTCAGCCCCAAAACATTTTTTAATAAGGGAATACAAAAGCTTGTTGAAAGATTGTCAAAGTTGTGTTGAAAAGCAAGGAGATTATGTTAACAATGATGTATTTGTTTTTTCTAAAAGTTGATTAAAATAAGTTCCAGAGTGTGGAAAACTTTGGACTCACCCTCATGTATGTGTGTGTGTATACACATTTGAGCAATCACTGCTTGAAAATAGGCTTTGCTGAAATTACTGCTGACATTTACTTCAAATGGTGTTACATATTCTGACATAAAAATTTAATTTTGAATATGAGGATAACAAACTGATTTACTAAAAACCTCAGATTTCTGACTTTTAAGACAAAGTCTTCAAAGAATGATAATTACAAAAAATAGAGGTCATCCTAGGACCAGGACTCAAGCCAGATACCAACCTAAACCAATCAAGAAAGTGATGCAAACAATTACAGTAGAATAATCTGTGAAAGTCAAAAATTGTGCCAGGAAGAAATCTACCAGCAAAGGAAAACTCAAATATTCCCTAGCAATAGAATGTGACAGAGAAGTGGTAAGACTACACCCTGCCAAAAGTGGCAAACTTGCAAGACCTGGAAAAACAAGGTAGTCCCTTTGAGTTTTAGGGCTCACAGGTTTCACTGTAATGCTAAGGAGACAAAAGTTGCCAAACAAAGGCAATCCTCTCTTCCACAACATAACCTCTAAGAAAGGAAGATGACTAATACATGAAACACCTGAAACAGAAGTTGAGATTTATTCATAAAAAAAATATGATCAATTAACCAGCCCATTCATTCCTCAAACATTCTAGTTAATTACAGTTGAAAATCTGCTTTGACAATTTCAGTGTGTGGTCACTCACTCTAAGTCAGATTGGGTCAGAACAGATTCTCCTACAATTCACCTGGAAGGAACACGGCCCTGTTGTATCCCCTGCTGGGCAGAAAGTCCGTCCTCAAGCCCAGCACTCACATTACCACTGGGGACTAAGTGATCCAGCAGGACTTTGGGGGGTGTGGGTGGCAAACACCAGTTTCACGTATTTCTGATGTGAAAATCAGAAAACCAGTGAATGAGGTTTACATTACCGTTATTTGTGCTGTCAAGTCTGTTCCGACTCGCAGCAACCCTGTATTGGGTTACCGAGAGCTGCTGCTGGTGGGTTTGAACTGCTGACTTTGTGGTTAGCAATCCAGTGATTATCCTTGAGCACCACACCAAGGAGAAGTTTACAAATTTCTTGACAAGATCCTCACCCCTGGAGCCTCTTCAATGATCTTCTGGTGTCTCCTCTGTACACTGCAGTCTCTTTCAAACAAGTACACGGCATTGCCATAGTGGTCACCAAACACCTGGACTTCTACATGTCTATTTAAAGGCAAACACAAGAGTTAATAGATTTGGTTAGGGGCGACAAATATCATGAAGATCAACTGTTGGCCAAGGTGACCAAAACTCCTCCATTGGTAATGTTTTTTTTTTAAAATAAGATGACATTCTTTTAACCTAAAAGTAGAGATTAAGGAATGAGAAACATAACTATAGTTTTTCTTGTAAAAAATTCAAGGGAAAAAATTCTATTTGAACTTCAAAGAAAGAGAAACTAGTTTCCTAACTAGAATAAAATATGAAACTCATTTTAAGGGGGGAAGGAAAAAGAAACTATTTTAAAAACAACACAAAAATAACAAAATCACCAGTATTTCTACTATGCAAAGTTAGTTCCTATTTCTATTCCAGTGCACACCCTTTTTGTTTTTTCTATGGATAAAGTGTATGTATTAAAACTGAGCACAAGAGTTAATGTACCAAGCTGTTTAACTTGCTTTTCTTCTTTATATTGATTTTGTTGTTGAGAATATACACAGCAAAACATACACCAGTTCAACATTTTCCACGTGTATACCTTCTCCAAGTTGTGCAACCATTTCCGCCTTACTTTTTGGAATTGTATCTTCTCCATTTACATAAATCCATTGCCTCCTAAGATTCCTATCTAATCCTCCGAGTTGCTGTTGTCAATTTGATTCCATATAGTTATTAAAAGATCATAATGTTCAAAATACCTTTTTAAATAGTTTAACTACAGTACTGTTTGATTTCAAGAAGACTTAGATAAAAGATTGTCTCAGAAGGAACAAACAAGATGGCGGATCGGGTGGACGTATAGCAGAGAGCTCCGCCAACAGCAACACAGAATACCTGACCAAGCAGGTTCAGGGGCTGGTCCCAGAACTCTGAACCGCATATAAGGGAATACTTGGAAGGTTGGAGGGCTCACAGCTGGGGGAATCTGTGGCAG